CCCGAGAGCTGACCGCGCGAGCTCCGCTCCCCAGTAATGCTGCTCATTATAAAATTAGGCATAATATGCTTGTGTAACTGATGCTTGTGCAACTGGCGAGCTCATCGACGCCCTCCATATCAACCTCCTTGGAGGAAGACAGGCGGAGCGTTGGGCCCCCTCCCCGGGAGGGAGAACCACAGCACGGGCTTCCGAACCCCGAGAGCAGGCGCTGGATCTGGTGGGTGAGTAAGAAGATAGGGACTCGCCCGTCTACATTCCCTCCACCGGATCCATATGCGAACCCCACGAGCACGGCCGCCGCTCCGCCTCGGCGAAAGCAGGGCTGGCACCGCGCGAAACGCCGGCGAAGGCTCCCTCCTCAAAGAGAGCCTTCCGAGAGCGAAGCAAGGCAGTAACAAACACTCGCCATGCGGGCAGTCAGCTCCCTCGAGAGCTCACTCTGCGTGCTTCGCTCCCAAGCAGACAACACACAAACTGTGCGTGTCCCCACCCGAAATATAGCACGGGTAGGGAGGAACACACAGCCTGAATGCAGTCTGCTCTCGCCCAAATGCTTATTTTTGGCTGAAGCTTGACATAAAGATCTTAAGTGAACAAACAACACTAAATAAGACTCTGACACACACACACAGTGACATCTCGCCCATCCATTGGACTGATTACATACGTGATTCAGAGCACGGTCACGCTGAAGGCGTTCCCATTGCGTTTCGACGCAGCTCGAGTTCCTGAAGGGGAACAGGTTTGTATGACTGTATGTACACGATGACGCAAAACCAAAACCAAAACTAAAGTCAATGATAACATTTTTTTAACTCAAGTAATTTCTGTCTTTATATCATATAATGAAAATTATTTTGATGTGTTACAGGTTAACTTTGACAACTACAATGCCATGGTGTCTTTTGTTAACATTCAAAATAAGCACCGGAAGTTTCTGGTTAGTTTTTATTTAACACTTTGTGTATTTATGTACCCGATTGAAAAAATAGTATACTTAAGTACAATTTATTCGTATGTACTTTAGTATAACTAAATATATTTGTGGCACACTATAAATTGGTATACTTAAAGTCTGCTAAATTGGAACAACTAATTTTGTACTAAATGCATTTTAGTTGTTCAAAGTTTCGACGCAGCTCGAGTTCCTGAAGGGGAACAGGTTTGTATGACTGTATGTACACGATGACGCAAAACCAAAACCAAAACTAAAGTCAATGATAACATTTTTTTAACTCAAGTAATTTCTGTCTTTATATCATATAATGAAAATTATTTTGATGTGTTACAGGTTAACTTTGACAACTACAATGCCATGGTGTCTTTTGTTAACATTCAAAATAAGCACCGGAAGTTTCTGGTTAGTTTTTATTTAACACTTTGTGTATTTATGTACCCGATTGAAAAAATAGTATACTTAAGTACAATTTATTCGTATGTACTTTAGTATAACTAAATATATTTGTGGCACACTATTGGTATGTATTCTGTCCTAGATGCGTGTTCCATCTACGCAACACTGACAGATAGCTAACGGTTCAGAAGTCAGAAAAGGGGCAGACGCAGGAGTAAAGTTGAAAGTTTTACTGTTAGGTTCTTTCCTCTTCCATTTCTTATTCTTTTCTTTTTTGTAAAACTGAAACATATAAAGATTACAAACGTCTTGTTACAGAGAGTTCAAAAATAAATGCAAATGAATTTACAATGTTATCTGAACAAACATAACAAAGGGCTACATTCATGCTATGCTTAATATTGTTATCACCGAAGAGTAATAGTTTTAAACTCGAACTTATGAATTTCACATGTATACGTGTATATACATTCTTAAACACTGAAGAAAAGTAATAGACTTACAGGCAAAGCCTTTCCAAGGCACAAAACGCAAAGGAAATAGAGTAAAGAACTTCTTGGACAACCGCATGGAGAAAATCTGGAACACTGCGATTATTTCCTGGTTAACCTCTAACCCAAGAGTCACATGGTCTAAATCAACCACTAAGAAAATAGCTAACAATTATTAATGTTCTTTGTTGTTACACCAAACTGCCACAAGATGGTGCTAAAAAAAATAACAAACAAATGCATGACATGACAGTACGCTTAAAGTCTGCTAAATTGGAACAACTAATTTTGTTTTAACTTTTAGCTTAAAGTAGTGCTGGGGTCCAACTAAAGTTGTGTTAAGTAGATGTGACGCCCTAAAGTATGTACACATTTGTTGTGATTTTGGAAGAAAAAGTTTATTTTCCATATTTTTTATTTTATATATATCACATGTTAAATGTAATGAACAAGCTGAAAATTGTCTGAGTGTAAATCATTGTTGCTGAGTGAGATCATGAGTGAGCTTGTGACTGGACGGAGAACGGGAGCCCGGTGTTTGGGGAGCCAGGTGTTTCTAGCTAGAGGGCAATTTTTTTTTTTTACTATTCTGCTGCCACTTCTTTTATGAGAGGACTTTGGAGGTTCACTAGAGCAGTGGTTCCCAAACTTTTTGAAAGCATGGCACCCCTTTGTTGGTAATAAAATTACACCATGCTATATGCCTAATATAAAATAACAAATACCTTACACAAAGTTTAGGTAGCCTAAACAAAACTGAAGATCAGTACACTGTGGAACCAAATAAATAAGAAACGCAATGTTTATTAGCAAAACTAATAAGAAAGATTGGAGACAAGGCATACTTGATGTAAAATAAAAAAAATACAGTTTAAATAAATTTAAATCAGCAAACACTGTGGAACCAAATAAATAAGAAACGAATGTTTAAAAAAAACTTCCAATATCAGCTTTTAAATGGCAGAAGTCAACAGGCTTTTCAAAATCCAAAATATCGCATGTCGTTTTGAAACTCTTCTGCCATCGTCTTGTCTGTCTCACCTCTCTCTTCTTGTCAGCTTCTCCTCGCGAGATAAATAAGATATGATCTGTGATGCGACTCATTCGGCACGCTGCATTGAGCAGCCGCATTCAGTTTTAATTTTAGTGAACTAACTTAAATTATTTTTATTACTATACAAAATCAAAGCGACGGTGGGCAAGTGACACAACCGGTGTTGTGGCTTCACACCGGTAAAACCGTTAAAACCTTCTATAGCAGCAACACGAATTTCATGTCCTGTCACTGCGTGAAATACTATAAAATTGAGCGCGCACCGGTACAAAGGGCAGAGCGGACGGGGCAATTCTCTCCTGAGAACAGTCCAATTGGCGGTAAATACATATTTAAACTTTAAATAAGTATTAAATATATCAGTGTTTTTTGCTTATTTATTTTCATTTGGACGAAATCAACAACAAAACACCAACATTTGCTTATAGGTTAGTGTTTTGATATAGCCTATTTTTAAAATACATGCTGTAAAAGTAGTATTTTAGGTTGTTTAAATTGGAAGAAAGCTAAGACTCTGCGGCACCCCTAGCCAGAACCACTGCACTAGAGCACAGCATACCTGAACTAGTTTATCTGCAAAGTGCCACAGATGAGATGGGATAAATTTCAGGATTTGAAATGATTTTAAACGGGCAAAAGCCCTTTCAACATGAATCCTATTCTGTGCAATCAGCTTTGTAGCATGTGCTTCACTGTGTGTTAGTTGGCCATGATTGAGAAATGGGGGAATGTTTACCGTGACTCCCTTCGGGCATAATGTTGTGAATTAGGAATCCATTGTCAGCTAAAATGAGGTCTCCCGGCTTGAAATGGTCCAAAACACCAGAATCCTGTACTATTTCTTTATCACTTGCTGATACTGGGTAAAGTTTGCTGCAGTATGTGATCACAGCATTTGGTGCCACCCCAATAAGTAGTTTGAAGGAGTGCATGCCACGGTATGAAGAATAGGTTTCTTTCTGTGTATCCATTTGCTTGGGAACAGCAATTTTGATGTCAGTGCAATCCATAATCATTCTGCAGTTTTGGAAATGCAGAAATTAAGAAGGCAAGCAGGTCTTGTTTTTCTCCCGACTGGGAACAGTGCTCATTATGTCCTTAAAAAGGAGCTTGTGAAGGACCTCAATGAATATTTGTAGCACATTCCTGACTGTTTTTAAATTGCAGCAGAAGAGTGCAACCAGGTGGAGGTTTGTGTAGTTATGACGAAGTTTCATGAGTGTCATGAAAATTTGGTCTTCAAGAACGATGTCTTTGGGTCTCCAACCAGAATGGTATGTGATCGAATCCTCAAAGCGAGCAACATATTCACAAACAGCACTGAAGGTATCTTTATCTGGCAATCCTGTCTCCATCCGAAAAACACTTTCACTCAGCTGAGAGGCAGAATACCTGTCACAACAGTAACTCTGTCTTTGCAGCTTGTCCTTGAGAAAACTTATCTCTGCTGTGGAGCACTCTAGCTTTATCTCAAGCTGAATTATTTTTCTTCGTTCAGACTGTAGCTCTTCTTCAACTGTGCTCCTACCTGGTTGTTCCTCAACATTGTTGGTAGGGGGTTGAGGACCCTCTACAACAGCCAGAGATGGTGGATCTTCATCCTCATCAGCCATATAAAGTGTAGCACTTTCCTCCCCTTCATCCATGAATAGTGGAACCATTTCATTCACAGTGCTTTCCTCTCGGAGTATGTAGGAATGATCTTCAAAAATTTGTCTAGTGGGATCATTTGGGGCTACAAACAGCAGGAGCCTTTTTTTCCCCTAAAGGAAAATGACAGCTACAGATCCGGGAATGGGCACTGGGCTTCCTGTCTGCTCGTCTGGGGGAAAAGTACAAAACACACAATATTAATTTCATGAAAGATTAACCTTTCCATATAAAAACTTGAAAAATACAAAACTAGAGCCAAACTAAAACTTACATTAAACAAATTAATAATAAATAGTAGTGAATAAATGAAATAATCATAACTAAAGCACATGAATGAATGAATGAATGAGGCATTAATAATGCACTTTTTTGTGTATTGTCTAACTAACACCTCTTCCAGCAGCAACCTATTTTTTTCCCAGGAGGTCTCCCATCCAATGCCTATGGGCAACCAAACTTGGTTGGGCTACAGCAGGGCTGGGCAAAGTCAGTTCTGGAGGGCCACTTTCCTGCAGATTTTAGCTCCAACCCTAACCAAACACACTTGAACAAGCTTATCAATGTCTTCAAGATCACTAGAAAGGTATAAGCAGGTGTGTTTAATTAGGGTTGGGGCTAAACTCTGCAGAACAGTGGCCCTCCAGGACCCAAGTTCCCCAGCCCTGGGCTATAGGGTGATATGGCTGTGGCAATAATGAAATGACCCAAAAAGTTAACTTAAATTACAATGTAACCTAAAATAATTTAAAATAAAAGCTAAAAATGTTATCAATAAAATCAACATCAATTAAAACTATAATAGTATATTTAACATAACTAAAATAATATTGATAGGAGCACAAGACTGCAATACTTAACTGCAAGATCCAACCCTTTTCTGTACATTTCTAAATAAGGTGCATTAAAAGAAAATTAATTAATATGAATATTTTCATTAAAACGTGTCTCCACGTAGTATTTAATAAAATTCAGTATTTTAAATGTTTTAAAATGTAGTATTTTACGGTATTTTAAAATTAGTATTTAATAAACAACAGTAGAGTGAGCAAGTTTTTGGATATGGTAATATAACATTTATTTTAGTGAATAAAATATAACATATACGTTAACTTTTGTTAATATAACAAAACGTTACTTTATCCTTGCTTCTAGAAAATCCTCAATCTTTCTGCCTTCCAACAGCTTCATGTGGCCATAAACATTTAATTTTAGCGTAATTTTTAAGCACTATGCATCATTACAGTGTCATTTTAACCATGACCATGTAAAGCTGGTAAATGTGGTGTTTACATGGAATAATCGTAATATTAATTTACCTTATGGTACGAACCCAGAGTCTCCGCTGGGATACATCAGTAGGAAAGCGATAAAACGAGCATCTTCCATCCGAACACTTGTGTTGCACATAAACATTTAATTTTAGCGTAATTTTTAAGCACTATGCATCATTACAGTGTCATTTTAACCATGACCATGTAAAGCTGGTAAATGTGGTGTTTACATGGAATAATCGTAATATTAATTTACCTTATGGTACGAACCCAGAGTCTCCGCTGGGATACATCAGTAGGAAAGCGATAAAACGAGCATCTTCCATCCGAAGACTTGTGGTTGCATTTCGGGGCAAAGCAAAAAAAACATTGTTGAAGAACAATATAAAATTCTCTTAACTATTAATTGGTTATTCTACAATTGATTGAACTACAAATTAGAAAACACTACAATCGAAAAAACACTATGAATCGATAAACAAACTAATCCAAAAAACTGCAAGAACACGAAGCTGTAAAAGCGGGTTGGTATGAGTTCCTGTTCGGCGTGACGATGTTTAATGTCTCCAACAGCGCCTGTAGTCCGATTTAGCAACTTGTTAGCAACCAACTTTTTTAAGAAACGCAACCGCTTTAAAAAATCACGAGTGGGTGTAACTGGTGTCTTTTATGTCGTAGAATAAACCGTGAAAATATTTTGAGCTTGTGTGAACCACTGACCTTATTTAAGGGATTTAACCAAAATCCCATTCAAAAAACCCATTGACTCTAGGACGATGGGACCGGAAGTGCTAAAATGCTAACTCGCTTCCGGGTTTTCGCCTACAAAGTGACATCATAGTTCCACCACTCCATTGCGCTCACAATTGCTGGGGATTATGTGCGACGCTGACACGTTTGCTCCTGTCTTCTCAAGTCATGTAATTCCTATGTGTATGTTCAGGTTGCAAATATATTGTGTAAAAATGTTCCGGTTTGTTAAGATATGGAATGTGTAGATCATCCGCATTTTGTGGACGCTGTGACACGATGTACTCGTGTAATGCATTTAATTTGATTCATACAGGCTCCAGTTACCAGGTTATGGTGTTCATTATTTGTTTATTCATATTATATTTGTGTTTGGATAATTAAAGGGGTCATATGATACGATTTAAATTCTTCCTTTCTCTTTGGAGTGTTACAAGCTCTTGGTGCATAAAGAAGATCTGTAAAGTTGCAAAGACTAAAGTCTCAAATCAAAAGAGATATTCTTTATAAAAGTTCAGAGTCAGCCACACCTACCTAAAACGGCTCGTTCTAACACGCCCCCACATATCTACATCACTGCGTGGGAAGATTTGCATAACGCCGCCCAAATGTTCACGCAAAAAAAGAAGGCGTAACTTTTATTCTC